CGGATAATAAATCAGCATATTATTATGATTTCTGAAGATCATGTGACACTGAAGACTGGAGGAATGATGCTGAAAATGCAGCTTTGATCACAGAAATAAATTAGATTTTAACATATTAAAATAGAAAAACATTATTTTACATCCTAATAATATTTCACAATATATGGGTATTCGTTTAGAGTGGAATTACGTGTTAGTTAAGCAAGATGGTTGGGTTTTTGTGTTAGAAATGTTATGTGTGTTTATGTTTAAGTTAGTTCGGGTGGGTTTGGTTCATTTACTGCCTTGTTATAAAAAGTGTGGATGTTACCGTCATGGAGAGAGATGTGTCGGGGAAGGACTTGGCGATATGCCTTACTTGTGTGGATCTTATTCTGTGCTAGGAATAAAAGGTGAAAAGATGACAGCACTGCCTCCTGCTGGTTTGTTCTGGCTGTGCTTCTGCTCACAGAGACACTCATGGTCGTGCGGTGTATGGGACGCGAGTGTTCGCACCTTCCACTAACCATAGACAAGTCTTGCGTTTTAATGCTAGCAATTTGTTAGCCATTATCTTAGCCAAAGTTTAATAGCCTAGCTTAGCTCTGGTCAGCCCCACGTTCAATAGAACAACGGTGCGTTGTTACAATATATATATATATGCATGCATGCTAAAAACTAAAACGCAATGCCTGTTGAACACTTTCTCCACATGTGTCAGCTTCACACATGTGTTTACATTGGATCTGAAACGGTCAGAAATTGAAGTTGAATTATCATCTGTTACACCTTTAACCTGCAAGCGTTTCTTTCACTCCTTCTTCCCATTCTTGCTTTGCCGCCAGGGCTTCGTGCTATCACATGCCCCTTCAGTGCGGCTGATAGGGGCATTTGGGCAGAAAGCGATAGGATTGGTGACTGCAGTTACAGTGGGGCTTCTGATTAGGAAAGTTCCCCCTTCGACAGGCATCTCATGTGACTGGCCTACTAAACGCTGCTTAGGCCTCTCTGAGAACCTCATTCATTCACGGCGCACCTGCGAGGAGAGAGGAGAAGCAGTGTTCGCCCTCTCTCTTTATCCCCCTCTCTCTTTCTCTCCCGGTGGGATTTGAGCGAGTGCTTTTGGGGGATGTAGTGCAGGCGGCTCTCGATGTTCTCACGGGTGGTTTATTTCGCCAATATGTTTGGCTTGAGGAGTTCAGGTGGGAGTTACGAGAAACTCAACGAACAGTTTGATCTGGACGCGCCCTTCTTCCAGGTTTGTCTTGCAGCGCTTTGCTGAAGTCAAGGGAACGGTGGGGTTTTTCTGTTTTCAGTTTTATATTTAGAGGCATCTATGACCTTCTAGATCTAGAAAATGCACTGTTGGCAATGTTGAGATGTGTAATATTCACCATTGCAACTTTTCCCTTTTTGTCACAATTAGATATTGCAGTACAATTGATAATTATGGACTGGATTTTTTAATTTTTTTTGTCAGCGTAATAATATGTGACCCTGGACCAGTTATAAGGGTCAATTTCTCGAAATTGAGATTTATACATCATCTGAAAGCTGAATAAATAAGCTTTGTTAGGATTGGAGGACAATATTTGGATGAGATGCAACTATTTGAAAATCTGTAATCTGAGGGTGCAAAAAAATCCAAATATTGAGAAAATCGTCTTTAAAGTTGTCCAAATATAGTTCTTAGCAATGCATATTACTAATGAAAAATTAAGGTTTGATATATTTACGGTAGGAAATTTACAAAAATCTTCATGGAACATGATCTTTACTTAATATCCTAATGATTTTTGGCATAAAAGAGAAATGTATAATTGTGACACATACAATATATTGTTGGCTATTGCTACAAATATCCCCCAGCGACTTAACACTGCTTTTGTGCTGCAGAGTCACATATAGTGTTTGTTATTTTCTTGCGCCTTTGAGATCACAAGAACTTTTAGTCTTATCAATGGCTGTGCTGTAGATTTCATGGCTTTTTCTGGTTATTCTGCTCCCATAATGTGAAAGATGACACTGATCATCATCATGCGATCTGGTTAATCAATGGACAATATCTGATGAATTATTCCACTGGACTAGCTCTCCTTTCTCTTTCCAGATCCTCACATTTCCCGAGATTATTTTTGGGGATGATTTAGAAACATTCCCACAGGTGACAATGTGCCAATAGGGATTGACAATTGTTGCACCAAATTTTTTGAAATAATGCAACTTTTGGTCACCATCGTCCAATTGTCAGTTCTTCCCAAGAACTGTCTGTGGGTTGATTTTTACACTTTGCTCCACTGAAAAAATCTCATCACAATCTTCTCAAAAGTTCACCTTCGCTGACCAAGCTCTTTTCCATCTAGGTAACGCGTCAGATCCATGAACACGAGCAGGAAAATGAGCTCCGAGAGCAGATGTCGGGGTACAAACGCATGCGACGGCAACACCAGAAGCAGCTGATTGCTCTGGAGAACAAGCTGAAGGCAGAGATGGATGAGCACAGACTGAAGCTCCAAAAAGAACTGGAAACCCACGCCAACAACGCCTTCATTGAGCTGGAGAAACTTGCCAAGAAGCACGTCATGCAAACGGACAAAGAAGTGGGTGATCTTTCTTTATTCTTCTGTTGAGACCCAAAGGGTTTATAGTTACTAGCTAATCAAAAATGGGTCGATTAGAAATGACATGATGTTGACAAAAAAATTGTGATTTGACCAATAAACCATCCAGAATGGTTATTCTGGGACTTTCACATCTTAACAATAAATTCTATAGTTTAAAATCTCTGCACAAAGTTGAAAAAAAAAAACGAGTGCACAAGTTCATGTGAAAGCTCCCCCGATTTATATTATTATTTTCCATATTGCATGCTAAGCATGTAAAAAGCCAAGGGATGAATGCTAATTATTCATGTAGCATATGTTGATTAATATGTTAATGAAGCCAGAGAAGAAAATGGGATGGTGTGGATTTTTTTTGTTTGCTTTCCTCAGGAGTATAAAAAAAAAAAATCAGTCACATACTGTAGTTACAATGAAATTGCATTGCTATTAATGATAAATCTGCATTGTGTTCCTCAGATGAAAACACTGGCAGCTGATGAGAAGAAGTTCCAGCAGCAAATCATGGTCCAGCAGAAGAAAGAGCTCACCAACTTCCTCGATAACCAGAAGAAACAGTATAAGCTGTGCAAGGAGAAGATCAAAGAGGTTCTTGTCTAGTCCCTACAAGCTGAAACTAAAATTGACACTGTTTACTGAAATATTAATATTATTCCAAAGAAAAATTGGAAAACAACTCTACTATTCAACTTACCAAGCCATCTAATTTTTTAGTCCTTTCCCCTCTAACTGCATCATATTGACTAGTCTTTATAATCCAGTTAATAAGTTGTCACTTCAGTTGTTAGTTTCAGTTGTCACTGAAAAAACACTACATTGCAAGAGTAAAATGGGTTGTAAATGCCATTTCATGTTGACTTAAAAACGGGGTATTCACTTCTTTTAATTCTTTTGTCTCTTCTCATGTTTCTTTGTTCAGGAAATGAGTGAAGACCACAGCACGCCTAAGAAAGAGAAGCAGGAGAGGCTTTCCAAGCATAAGGAGAACATTCAGCATTCTCAGGCTGAAGAGGAGGCTCAGCTTCTGGGTCAACAGAGGACTTTCTACGATAGGAACTGCAGAGCCTTCAAACGCAAGATCATTATCAAGAAGCACGAGTTTGAGCAGGAGCAGCTACGAGAGGTGGGGATGAAATGCTTCAAAAAGTTAAAAAAAAAAAGACTGTGATATAAATATGTGTTTAAAAGTTTTGGGGTCAGTAAGATTGTTGTTGTTTTTAAATGAATTAATAAAGAGAAATAAAGAAATGTAGACTGTTACGAAATATTTCTGCTCTTTCGAGATTGATACGTTTCTTGAGCACCAAATTTCACAGTATGACTATTTTTACTGTTTTCAATCAAACTAATGCAGCCTTGCAGACTTTCAAAAACGGAACAAAAAAAATCTTACCGAGCCTACACTTCTGAACGGTAGCGTGTATGTATATATACAAGATAATCATATGAAGGCTTTTCCCAGGGATAATGCAAAATTTGAACCGTTTCTCAGGGTCGATGACTGCTTTCAATTAATCTGATTTGAAAGTAAGTAATGCAGCAATGTGCAAATCCTTTAATCTAGTGCTTTAATCTGCAGGAAACCTTTGGAATTATTACTGAGTCTAAACCCACTCTATAAAGCAACAAACATGATGATGCATAATCCAGTGGTTTGCAATCCTAGTCCAAATTTTGCATAGCTCCACTTGCATATTAACACGTTTATTTGATCACGCCTTTTAACGTTGTAACCGTTGCTTACTAAGGTGAGCTATTAGTACTAGTATTATTATTATTGTTGTGCATACTTATGATTAAGGGTTTGTTTTAAACCACTAACTTTGCTTTGTAACTTTTGGGAAACTAAATCACCTGTTAACCTTAACCCCAAAGAACACCCTAACAACCTAGCAGTGCCATAGCAACCACCGTGGCAAGTATCCATATATAATAAAAGTCAGAAAACCTTAGCAATCACATGGCATTGTGGTGGCGACTTCTGTACAGGAAAACACCACTAGTTTTCTTATTAAGGATATGTAAAAATATTAGTAGATTTAGAAGAGACCTTATTATTTGAATAATGTAATATTGTAATGTTAATTTCTGTCTCGCTGTCTGTCAGGAGTTGAATAAGAAGAAGACCCAGAAGGAAATGGAGCACGCTATGTTGATCAGGCAAGACGAGTCGACCCAAGAACTTGAGCACAGGCAGCTGAAGACCCTACAGAAACTTCGCATGGATCTGATCCGACTGCAGCACCAAACGGAGCTGGAGAACCAGATCGAATACAACAACCGGAGAGAGAGAGAACTGCACCGGAAACATGTGCTCGAACTACGGCAGCAGCCCAAGAACCTCAAGGTACCACCAATCGTGAACGATTACTTAGCTATATATAGTGTGAATTTAACCTACAAAATCTATGTAGGTCTCATTGTTTCTATGACTGTGATTGGAGCATTAATGTTGTATTTTAGAAACTGGGTAGATCTTATGAACGTTAGCAGGTCAGTCGATGCCTGATGATGCTCTGACATTTCTTTATCTGAGAAACGTTTAACATTTAAACATTAATATCTTCTTAATATACAAAAGCGGTAAGACTTTACAGTTAGGTTCCATTTGTTAGTCAACAAACTGAAACTAACAATGGAACATACTTCTAAAGCATTTATCAGTCTTAGTTCATGTTAATTTCAACATCTACTAATTCATTATTAAAATCGAAAGTCGTATCTGCTAATATTTTTCAATGGACCTGAGCTGATATGAGCTAACAATGAACAGTTCTTAATTTTTTTCTGTGAATGTTTTGCTAGTTTGTTAGTTAATACATTAACATAATGGGACCTTATTGTAAAGTGTTACCAAAAAAGCTACAGTTTGCTCCATTTCACAATCCTTTGAGGCAAAACTCATATTAGATGGTCATTTTTGTCCTGAAAAGGCTGTCAGTTTGTGTTGATTCTACTTTGAGTCTTGTCTCCTGCAGGCGATGGAGCTCCAGATAAAGAAGCAGTTCCAGGACACATGTAAAGTCCAGACCAAACAGTACAAGGCCCTGCGGCACCATCAGCTAGAGGTGACCCCCAAAAGCGAGCATAAGACGGTGCTAAAAGCCCTGAAGGACGAGCAAACGCGCAAACTGGCCATCCTGGCTGAGCAGTACGAGCAGAGCATCAACGAGATGATGGCATCACAGGCAGTGAGTGAAGAAACAACACTGTTAACCATTATAGAGGCCAATACGTTCACATTCTAGTAGCTCTGTGAGATCATTGTAAGGAATATACACTTGGAATGTCTATGACAAAGCATTTAACTCTTTCCCTGCCAAACACGGAATTGTCCGTGTTTCCGTATTTCCACTGTTATAAGCTCGGTGGCGCTATTACACATTTCCTGAATGAGTCTAGAACGAGTCCAGCAATGCTCTAGAATGAGTCAAGAAAGTGCTGTAGAGTGAGTCTAGAATGTGCTGTAGAATGAGTCTAGAAAGTGCTGTAGAGTGAGTCTAGAAATAAGTCTAGAAAGTGCTGTAGAATGAGTCTAGAAAGTGCTGTAGAGTGAGTCTAGAAAAGTCTAGAAAGTGCTGTAGAGTGAGTCTAGAATGTGCTGTAGAATGAGTCTAGAAATAAGTCTAGAATGTGCTGTAGAGTGAGTCTAGAATGTGCTGTAGAGTGAGTCTAGAATGTGCTGTAGAGTGAGTCTAGAATGTGCTGTAGAGTGAGTCTAGAATGTGCTGTAGAGTGAGTCTAGAATGTGCTGTAGAGTGAGTCTAGAATGTGCTGTAGAGTGAGTCTAGAATGTGCTGTAGAGTGAGTCTAGAATGTGCTGTAGAGTGAGTCTAGAATGTGCTGTAGAGTGAGTCTAGAATGTGCTGTAGAGTGAGTCTAGAATGTGCTGTAGAGTGAGTCTAGAATGTGCTGTAGAGTGAGTCTAGAATGTGCTGTAGAATGAGTCTAGAAAGTGCTGTAGAGTGAGTCTAGAAATAAGTCTAGAAAGTGCTGTAGAATGAGTCTAGAAAGTGCTGTAGAGTGAGTCTAGAAAGTGCCGTAGAGTGAGTCTAGAATGTGCTGTAGAATGAGTCTAGAAATGCTCTAGAAAGTGATCTAGAATTAGGCTAGAATGTGCTCTAGAATGAGTCTTGAAAGTGGTAAAGGCCTGTGCAAGCGTTGGGAGTGCTGATGGAAACCATCTACTGCATCTTTGCTTTGATAATATTACTGAATATGATCCAGATGTAGTATTTGATAAAAATGCGATTTTCTCAGCGTTTTGCTCAAAATCTGGCTTTTTTAATGAAACCTACCTACATTCAAGTGTTGATTAAAAAAAAGAATGCTTGAAGCTACAATAAAACAGATTTTTTTTAGTTTGAAAGTAGAGGGTCTGAACTTTGTTTTGATGTATTGCATGTTCAGATATTCATACAACAAAATATTCTGGGGGCCATGAAATTTTAGTGAAAATCAGCAAAAACACTGGCGGGGAAAGAGTTAATGTTCATAATGTGACATTTTTGAGAGAAAAAGGATAAATAGTGGATAATAGTGTGCTGTAGTGATATTTGTAATGATGTTTGCTGAAGTGCAGCAGTCAGGTTCTGGAAGTAAATTCATTCATTTTCTCCGTAAGGAATTTTTTACACTATTTTTAACTACTTATAAACCTGTACAGAACTACTGTTCTGAGGTATATGCTTTTCTTGAAGCCATCCATTTGCATTATTTCAACTTGTTTTTTTTAAGTAATTCTTTGACAGCTGAATTTGTGGTGGAAAACTACATTACCCATAATGCTATATAGAAAATTCCACCGATCAGTGTCATAGCAAATTGCACCAAAAGAGCTCTTTAAGGAAATCTTTCTCCCGTGACGTGACATAATCGAGGCTGTCTCTCGTCTCAGATGTAAATATTTAAGTATGGTCTTGTACCAGATTTTCAAATACTTTTTTGCTTTAAATAAAAGTTTGTAATGTTATAATTCACCTTGTAGCTGGTTGGCTTGGTTAATAATACTTTAACAAAGACTTTTTGAAATCCTTATGGGAAAAGTGAATGGAAAAAATATTTCGGGAATCAATGCCGCTGAAAAAAGTAGGCGGGCACTAATGCACTCTTATTAAAGTAAGGGTTCATTTGATTTCAGGATATCTTTAAGATGCAACAGAATTTGTTATTTACAAGCAGTGTTGTGGGTAACGCATTACAAGTAACATGAGTTACGTAATCAGATTACACAAACCGGCAATAATTAAATATGTGAAATAATATCATTTATATATTTAATCCCATTTTATTAACCAATGTCTTTGCTACTGACCTTCGATGATCCATTTCAACCATACTAAGCAAAAATTATACATTTGTGTTTCATTTGTGTTATTGCTGAAGTGTGGAACTTTATTCTCCTGCGTCATATTCTTACATGGACATATTTTCAAAATATATACCATGTGTGTGTGTATTTATATATACATAATAAATATACACAGTACACACACATATATTATGTAAACAAAAGCTTTTATTTTGGATGCGATTAATCGTTTGACAGCACTACTTAAAAGCAAACAAGCAAACCCTGCCCAGATTTAAAAAGTAACGTAATGCATCACTTTGCATAAAAAGTAACTAAGTAACGTAATTAGTTACTTTTTTAGGGAGTAACACAATATTGTAATGCAACTTTCCTCAACACTGCTTATAAGTCATTTTGGAACAGCTAATGTGAGCATTTGTTTTGTAGATAGTTCATACAGATTTAAAAGTTAACATAAAGAAAAAACGGAGGCCTCCTGTTTGAAATTCCAGTCTCGGCTCGTTGCCTGTACAAGAAGGCCATTGATGGTTAAACGCAACTGTGCTGTAGTGTGAGGCTCACGTGTGCTCGTGTGTGTTTTTGTGCAGCTCCGTCTGGATGAAGCTCAGGAGGCCGAGTGCCAGGCTCTGAGGCAGCAGCTGCAGCAGGAGATGGAGTTACTCAATGCGTACCAGAGCAAGATCAAGATTCAGACCGAGGCTCAGCACGAGCGCGAGCAACAGAAACTGGAGCAGAAAGTCTCACTGCGCCGAGCACACCTTGAACAGAAGGTCTTGTCCTCTTATTAACCTCTAATGAACCCGGACTCTTAACTTGCTTATCATCAATAGTGGTCTGCCAATATAGGTTTTTCAATGGCCAATCTACATCAGTCATTTACAGTACATCAGTATACACTACTGGTGAAAACTTTGAGATCAGTAAGACTTTTTTAAAGAGGTCTCTTCTGCTCATCAAGGCTGCATTTATTTGAAATCATTGTAATATGCTGATTTATTATTAGAATTATCAACAGTTGTGCTGCACAATATTTTTTTGGAAACTGCGATACTTTTTCAGGATTTTTTGATGAATAAAAAGTTAAAAAGAACAGCATTTATTCAAAATATAAAACTTTTCTAACAATATAAATCTTTGCTATCACTTTGTATCAATTTAACACATCCTCGCTGAATAAAAGTTTTAATGTCTTTCAAAAAAAAAAAATTGCACAATTTTTTTTTTTTGGCTAATCTTTTTGACCGGCTGTGTGATTTAATAATTTTTTTAATTAAAAAAAATGTTTTTGCAGCCTCTAGCTGCTTGAATCTCTATTTGGTATTTATTCACCCACAGGAAATGAAAAAATACCTTTTATTAAGTACTGAAGAAATTTGATAACGTTTGCATATTAAAACAAATTTTAATAGTTGCATCTGTGACTCCCGAGATTCTTATGGTAATTGAATATAAATTGTTTTCATATGCACGATACCGTAATTCACCTCATCTGAGGTGCACAATGTGAATAATGCATACGTCAATCCTAACTTGTGGTACCTGCACAAAGGGCTGAAGGGGAAGGGACATGTATTTTGTGTATAGAAGGCTTTATGGAGAACTTACTTATTTTCCTATTACATTTTAACTGAATTTCAATTTCTTTTTATATTCATGCACACACATATATATATAATAAATGTTTTGCCACCCTTTCCCTCCTGCAGTCACTGGTGAAATTGTCTCATTTCATGATTGGGGTTTCTGTTTCGATTCTGGGCATCCTCTTCCGGCTGTGTATTTTCTACAAAGTCTCAAATAGTGAACAAAAACGCTTTACTGTCGCATGCACTTTACATTTGTTTTCAGGTTAAGAGGCATGATTCTGTCAGAGCTTTTAATTATATTTGTAAATAAAGTGCTCGTCACACAAGCGGTGTCTTATTGTAGTCTGGAACATTTTATTCCAATGTGTTTATTTCCAGCATGCTGCAGTGAGAATTTTGTGAAATTAAAGGTGTGGCCACAAATCCAACATAAATTTGCCTTGCATTGTATTTAAAGGTGCAAAGTCTTGTTTTTTAACTGAAGGCAGACTGCAATGTGACCCTGGAGCACAAAACCAGTCATAAGGCTCAATTTTTTGAAATTGAGATATATGCATCATCTGAAAGCTGAATAAATAAGCTTTCCATTGATGTATGGTTTGAAAATCTGGAATCTGAGTGTGCAAAAAAATCGAAATATTGAGAAAATCATCTTTAAAGTTGTTCAAATGAAGTTCTTAGCAATGCATATTACTAATCAAACATTAAGTTTTGATATATTTACAGTAGGAAATTTACTAAATATCTTCAGGGAACATTTTTTAATTGTTTAGTTTATTAGTGAAAATGTGCAGAAAAAGACAGGAGTTCTACATTATTTGCCAGCAAGCTGTTGGTAAATTTTGGGCCTGGAAGCGATTGGAGCACCGAGGCCGTATTTCTTGCAGAAACTCTGGATCCTGAATTTTCCACGGTTGTCTCCAGAGCGATTGGTGAGGACTGCTTCGGAGCAGCTGATGCTGCCTGACTGCTCATTAATTGGCCCATTAATTAGTAGCTCACAATTTTTGCACGCGGCCATGTCCACATTACATCACGTGATCGTGGGATTTCTAAACAGATGCAACTCTGGCTGCATGCGACCCTTGCGTCAATTACATAACTACAGACTGAATGCATTCGTTTCAACCCTCTTTAGTCAATGCAAATGCTTAGAATGGGTTAAAAAGGCACCGTATTGCAAACGCAGATCAGCAAGTTGTGACTGTTGTGTGATGCAGAGGCTAATTCCTGCATGCGCGCGCAATGGGCTCTGGACCCCAGAACACTTTCCCCAGAGCGTCCATTTCCAAAGAGCCACATTTGACGTTAGATGACTCCATGCTCTTGCGAGATATCAACGCAGTCTGTCTCCCTCTACAGTTGATTTATTGCGATTGTTCATTGAACTGTGATGCAGAGCCGTTTGATGGAAAGAAAGTTCGAGTCATTTCCACGAATCGATTCTTTCGAACACTTTAATAAACCTGGTTTATTTTCTATTTAATGAAGACGGTTATTTACAATCTAAATATAATTTAAAATATTGCACTTAAGAAGTAAATATTCATTAACATTATTATTATTATTATTATTAATGTTTTAAAAAAATCGAATGCGTTTTGATCAAACCGATTCAGTATGATTCGTAAACATTTGATTCATTGAAAAAGATCCGACTCAAATGAATCAGACGTCGCTAGTCGAAATCAACGCTTTTCTAAAGAACTTCTCTTTTTTTAAACTCGTATTTCTAGATTAAATCAGCTGTTAAACGTACACTCGAGCCGTAGGTAAAAGGCAAATTATTAAAAGCGCAAAAGAGCAAATTAATACAATAAAGCAAACTATTAAAGTCTCTGACTCTGTCGTTGAATGATCTTTTAATGTCGTTCTGATTCCAGCAGGTACATTTGATTATGATCTGCTGGTCATTGGTGGAGGCTCTGCAGGATTGGCATTTCAAAAGAGTTTTGATTTCTTTTTCTTCTTCTTTTACAGTTATTATGAATGACATTTCAATGCATCTCCTTTATTGGTCTAATTAAGATGTAATTTGATGTCACTGTCACACGACTGCTGAGATTCATGAAGCTATATCAGAGATGCTTGGCATGCATGACTGTATGTAGAGACTTTGCTTATAGCCAGAGCTGCTTTATTGCGCATAAGTGTAGCTTCATCCTGATCAGAGCGTATTATAATATTCATATAATATTGAGTGGCGATGTAGGTTTTGTTTCATGTACTACTTTTTCACAAGCACTTTATGCACAGCACCATCTTGTGGTATAAACCAGACGTCTGAATGATCAAATGTAAAGTGCAGCAGTCTTTGCACTAGAGAGCACTCCAGGTCTGGGATGAAGCTCAGGAGGCCGAGTGCCAGGCTCTGAGGCAGCAGCTGCAGCAGGAGATGGAGTTACTCAATGCGTACCAGAGCAAGATCAAGATTCAGACCGAGGCTCAGCACGAGCGCGAGCAACAGAAACTGGAGCAGAAAGTCTCACTGCGCCGAGCACACCTTGAACAGAAGGTCTTGTCCTCTTATTAACCTCTAATGAACCCGGACTCTTAACTTGCTTATCATCAATAGTGGTCTGCCAATATAGGTTTTTCAATGGCCAATCTACATCAGTCATTTACAGTACATCAGTATACACTACTGGTGAAAACTTTGAGATCAGTAAGACTTTTTTAAAGAGGTCTCTTCTGCTCATCAAGGCTGCATTTATTTGAAATCATTGTAATATGCTGATTTATTATTAGAATTATCAACAGTTGTGCTGCACAATATTTTTTTGGAAACTGCGATACTTTTTCAGGATTTTTTGATGAATAAAAAGTTAAAAAGAACAGCATTTATTCAAAATATAAAACTTTTCTAACAATATAAATCTTTGCTATCACTTTGTATCAATTTAACACATCCTCGCTGAATAAAAGTTTTAATGTCTTTCAAAAAAAAAAAATGAATAAAAATGTACTGACCCCAAACTTTTGAACGGTAGTGTATATTGTTAGAAAATATTTATATTTTAAATAAATGCTCTTCTTTTTAACTTTTTAATCATCAAAGAATCCTGAAAAAAAGTATCACAGGTTCCAAAAAAATATGAAGCAGCAACAGTTTCAGCACTGATAATAAATCAGCATATTATTATGATTTCTGAAGATCATGTGACACTGAAGACTGGAGGAATGATGCTGAAAATCTAAATATTGAGAAAATCATCTTTAAAGTTGTCCAAATGAAGTTCTTAGCAATGCATATTACTAATCAGAAATGAAGTTTTGATATATTTACGGTAGGAAATTTACTAAATATCTTCATGGAACATGATCTTAGTATCCTAATGATTTTTGGCATAAAAGAAAAATCGACAATTTTGACCCATACAATGTATTGTTGGCTATTGCTACAAATATCCCCCAGCGACTCAACACTGCTTTTGTGCTCCGGGCTCACATATGTGTTTAATGAGTTCGTAGAGTTTTTGGCAAATTGGAGGAAAGAAAGTAATCAAAGTAAGGCCTTTACCAGGGATAATGCAGTCTATGTCGGTTAGTTTGAGCTTCTGTCTTGTGTTTTCAGATTGAGGAGGAGCTGGCTTCTCTTCAGAAAGAGCGCACCGACCGAATCAAGCACCTGCTGGACCGTCAGGAGAGAGAAATCGACGCCTTCGATATGGAGAGCCTTCGTATGGGTTTCAATAACTTGGGTGCTTTGGACTACCCTAAAGATGACTACAGATGAGACCGAACACTCCAGCATCCTGCCTCTGTCCTGCTCGACCACTTCTTGTTGTTGTTGTTGTTTTGCAACAAATCTGCTTTTTTCTACTGACGGTCCTGTCAATCCTCTGGGCTGGTGCGGATAACGTGCTGGATTACATGCTTTAGTTGTCTCTTTTTATATATGAATATTACATACGAGACGATTAAATCTGTCACAGTGTTGATGTTGACGTTTTCTCGTGCAATGATAACACTTCCATTGTAATTCAAATGAGAGATTTCAAGACAAAAGCAATATGAACGGGGGTTTGTATTGCTCATTTTAATCTAGATGCACTTGTGCACAATTTTTTTTTTTTGGCTAATCTTTTTGACCGGCTGTGTGATTTAATAATTTTTTTAATTAAAAAAAATGTTTTTGCAGCCTCTAGCTGCTTGAATCTCTATTTGGTATTTATTCACCCACAGGAAATGAAAAAATACCTTTTATTAAGTACTGAAGAAATTTGATAACGTTTGCATATTAAAACAAATTTTAATAGTTGCATCTGTGACTCCCGAGATTCTTATGGTAATTGAATATAAATTGTTTTCATATGCACGATACCGTAATTCACCTCATCTGAGGTGCACAATGTGAATAATGCATACGTCAATCCTAACTTGTGGTACCTGCACAAAGGGCTGAAGGGGAAGGGACATGTATTTTGTGTATAGAAGGCTTTATGGAGAACTTACTTATTTTCCTATTACATTTTAACTGAATTTCAATTTCTTTTTATATTCATGCACACACATCTATATATAATAAATGTTTTGCCACCCTTTCCCTCCTGCAGTCACTGGTGAAATTGTCTCATTTCATGATTGGGGTTTCTGTTTCGATTCTGGGCATCCTCTTCCGGCTGTGTATTTTCTACAAAGTCTCAAATAGTGAACAAAAACGCTTTACTGTCGCATGCACTTTACATTTGTTTTCAGGTTAAGAGGCATGATTCTGTCAGAGCTTTTAATTATATTTGTAAATAAAGTGCTCGTCACACAAGCGGTGTCTTATTGTAGTCTGGAACATTTTATTCCAATGTGTTTATTTCCAGCATGCTGCAGTGAGAATTTTGTGAAATTAAAGGTGTGGCCACAAATCCAACATAAATTTGCCTTGCATTGTATTTAAAGGTGCAAAGTCTTGTTTTTTAACTGAAGGCAGACTGCAATGTGACCCTGGAGCACAAAACCAGTCATAAGGCTCAATTTTTTGAAATTGAGATATATGCATCATCTGAAAGCTGAATAAATAAGCTTTCCATTGATGTATGGTTTGAAAATCTGGAATCTGAGTGTGCAAAAAAATCGAAATATTGAGAAAATCATCTTTAAAGTTGTTCAAATGAAGTTCTTAGCAATGCATATTACTAATCAAACATTAAGTTTTGATATATTTACAGTAGGAAATTTACTAAATATCTTCAGGGAACATTTTTTAATTGTTTAGTTTATTAGTGAAAATGTGCAGAAAAAGACAGGAGTTCTACATTATTTGCCAGCAAGCTGTTGGTAAATTTTGGGCCTGGAAGCGATTGGAGCACCGAGGCCGTATTTCTTGCAGAAACTCTGGATCCTGAATTTTCCACGGTTGTCTCCAGAGCGATTGGTGAGGACTGCTTCGGAGCAGCTGATGCTGCCTGACTGCTCATTAATTGGCCCATTAATTAGTAGCTCACAATTTTTGCACGCGGCCATGTCCACATTACATCACGTGATCGTGGGATTTCTAAACAGATGCAACTCTGGCTGCATGCGACCCTTGCGTCAATTACATAACTACAGACTGAATGCATTCGTTTCAACCCTCTTTAGTCAATGCAAATGCTTAGAATGGGTTAAAAAGGCACCGTATTGCAAACGCAGATCAGCAAGTTGTGACTGTTGTGTGATGCAGAGGCTAATTCCTGCATGCGCGCGCAATGGGCTCTGGACCCCAGAACACTTTCCCCAGAGCGTCCATTTCCAAAGAGCCACATTTGACGTTAGATGACTCCATGCTCTTGCGAGATATCAACGCAGTCTGTCTCCCTCTACAGTTGATTTATTGCGATTGTTCATTGAACTGTGATGCAGAGCCGTTTGATGGAAAGAAAGTTCGAGTCATTTCCACGAATCGATTCTTTCGAACACTTTAATAAACCTGGTTTATTTTCTATTTAATGAAGACGGTTATTTACAATCTAAATATAATTTAAAATATTGCACTTAAGAAGTAAATATTCATTAACATTATTATTATTATTATTATTAATGTTTTAAAAAAATCGAATGCGTTTTGATCAAACCGATTCAGTATGATTCGTAAACATTTGATTCATTGAAAAAGATCCGACTCAAATGAATCAGACGTCGCTAGTCGAAATCAACGCTTTTCTAAAGAACTTCTCTTTTTTTAAACTCGTATTTCTAGATTAAATCAGCTGTTAAACGTACACTCGAGCCGTAGGTAAAAGGCAAATTATTAAAAGCGCAAAAGAGCAAATTAATACAATAAAGCAAACTATTAAAGTCTCTGACTCTGTCGTTGAATGATCTATTAATGTCGTTCTGATTCCAGCAGGTACATTTGATTATGATCTGCTGGTCATTGGTGGAGGCTCTGCAGGATTGGCATTTCAAAGGAGTTTTGATTTCTTTTTCTTCTTCTTTTACAGTTATTATGAATGACATTTCAATGCATCTCCTTTATTGGTCTAATTAAGATGTCATTTGATGTCACTGTCACACGACTGCTGAGATTCATGAAGCTATATCAGAGATGCTTGGCATGCATGACTGTATGTAGAGACTTTGCTTATAGCCAGAGCTGCTTTATTGCGCATAAGTGTAGCTTCATCCTGATCAGAGCGTATTATAATATTCATATAATATTGAGTGGCGATGTAGGTTTTGTTTCATGTACTACTTTTTCACAAGCACTTTATGCACAGCACCATCTTGTGGTATAAACCAGACGTCTGAATGATCAAATGTAAAGTGCAGCAGTCTTTGCACTAGAGAGCACTCCAGGTCTGATAAAGATGCTTGGGTTTTTACAGGTTTTTCATTTTTTCCCAACACTGGACTTAAATACACTTTTCCATACACTTACTGTATACACACACACACACACACACACACACACACACACACACGCACACACACACTCATGCTGGTTTTTATGGTTTATGGGGACTCTCCATAGGCGTAATGGTTTTTATACTGTACAGACCGTATATTCTATTGTTCTACACCAACCCTACCCCTAAACCTACCCCTCACAGGAGACTTTCTGCATTTTTAGATTTTCATTCTATCATCATAGTCAGATTCTGAATGATTTATAAGCCTTTTAAAATGTCCTCATAAATCACCTTCTTGTTGTAATACCTATGTCATACCCATGTTATTATACAAATTTGTGTCCTCATAAACCACATAAACATGCACACACACTCACACTCACACACAC